GCTCGGCGCGGTCCGCGCGCTCCCAGGCCGGACTGGCGCACCGACGGCCGCGCGCCCGGCGACCCGGCCCCCAGCCCTGTCTGCAGAGTAGCCTCGACAGATATGTGTTGTAAATAATGGACAGATGCTCCCTTGAGATGGTTTTGCCTTATTTTAATTTTAATTTATTCTATCATATAATGTGCTGAGTTCATAATCTTATAACACTCCGTTTTCAGAAGTAGATGGGTCACAAACCCTGACCGTCGGCGTATCGCGTCCGAGGTCGGGGACAGCGCTCTCCATCCGGCCCGCGGAGGCGCGGCGGGCGCCCGGCTGCTGGGAGGCGCCGGCGGCCGAGAGCGCTGCGCCCTGGACGCCCCCGCCGCCCTCCACGCCGGAGCCGCGCTCGCCGGGAACGCCGCCGGGTGCGGGAGGAGCCCTCGCTGCTGGAACAGGCGGCCGCGCAAGGCGGCGGGCGGCGCGTTTCGCCCGCGTGTGCCCGCGTTTGTCTGGAGACCACGGCGCGGCCATCGTCCTTCTCTTCTCTTCTCCTTCCCACCCCGGTTCCTCCCAGCCTCGCCGGCGCTGCCCGCTGTTCCTCGCGGAGAAGGCCGCGCCCTGCGCCCTGCACGGGGCTCGAACCCGGGACGCCGCCGGGCCCGCAGCTGGAGCGAGTGCGTCCGGTTCTGCCCCGAATCAGCGGCCCTTCTGACCCTCCCAGTGCTGGGTTCTCTGACCTATCTGTACTAGCAATATTTTGGCTTCCGCCTCAATCTTTTCATTTTATTTCTTAAATAATCAGAACCGGGCGAGAAGAAGGCCGTTATCGTGGGAGCCACCCCGCAGGCCCAGCCACCCGCGCGGGAGCCAGCGACGTCCCCCAGGTGGGCAGCGGCCTGCTGCTCGGCCCTGTGGTCGTCGCTGCTCCCATCTGAGGAACAATAAATATGAATGGAGAGGAACTCTATAGTGACGTGTAGATTCCGAGAGAGAAGGACCAAATTGCTATTCTATGAAAGAGAAGCTCATCATCTGAGTTTCGGGTGGCGATTACAAGAGGCGGTTGCTTGCATAGGTAAAGAGAGATGCTATGACTGACAATCTATGCGCGTCAACTTAGATAACAGGAGGTGAAATTCACCAATTCATTAAAAGACACATCTACCATAACTCACACAAAATAAAGTTCATAGAGTATATCTATTAAAGATGAATCATAATTCGCATAACCTTCAAAACAGAAAGCATCAGGCGCCAGGATAAGGCGGTCACTGGTGAATTTTCGACAGGTCTTATGAAACTATCACAAAATAACAAAAATATGACAATAAGAAGAAAACTATCTTTTCAAGTGTTTTATATTATCTTGAATCGAAACAGCCAGCATGACATTTTTTTTCAAAATAAGGCAGTATCTAATATGCTTGCTTGGATCATCTGATCCAAATTGGTGGGTCTTTAACATGGCATTCTGTCAAGACGAAGACCGGCAGCGTTCCTCGTCTGACTGGTGTGTGGGCTGCACAGTGGCACTGCTCTCCCCTCACAGCCGTGAGGCCTGGACTCTCTTCAGTGTGACAGTAACACTAAAAATAGTCCTGTGTTTGTGTGCTGCCGCGCATCTCCATTGGACATTGAAAATAACCACGTAATGGGGTAAGGTGATAAAAAGTCTTCATGGAGAAAGTATTTTATTCTATCTGGCCTTGAAGAATTGCCTGGACTTTGAAAACTGGAAGGAGATAGGTGTTTTAGATAGAGAGTAGATAGTGACAAAAAGCCTGGAAATGGTGAGGGTCTGGGCTTGTTTAAGAAAAGGTGAATAATCCAGTTTGACTTCAACGTAGGAAGAAATCCCAGAGGGGAGTAATGACAGCTATATTGGTCACACTGGAAGGGTTTTGAATTTCAGAAGGAGACATTTGAACTTCATTTTATATGTCATGGGAAATGACATGGCCAAATCCGTGTTTCAGAAAATGCTGTCTATGACTGTTTAGAGGATGAATTAAAGGAAAGAGGCTGACAAGAGGGAGAACATGTAACATGTATTGGGAAGCCACAAAAGCCTGTTACTACAGGGGAATAAAAATGAGCAAGCAATGTGCCAACTTCAGTTGTAATTAATTGTAATTTTGTACACTAATTGTAGAAAAACAATTGAGAGAATTTGGTGATTGAATGAGTGAAGAGAGAGAGATACCTGATGATGATGATGATGATGAAGAAGAAACTGGACTCCCTTCCTTAGTTTCTCTTATATGACTTGGTAAAGGATGGAATAAAGCATAAGGCAGAGCCAGTTTGGACTCTGTCCTATAGAAACTCAAGAACAATGCTGTTTATAGCTGATCTGCATATTGCTCCTTCCCATTGTTTTATGCCTGATGACTGGGCCAGCTCGTAGTGAGACTGCCCGCAGCGTTTCACTGTGCTGCGTGGATGACTGATGGTTGAATAAGCTGTGGGCACAGGCGCATGGGGACATACGGCTGTACAGGATCCATGGGAGTATGCACACCTCCATTATTTTTTGGCTCTCTATAGGTGATCCCTATAGAGGGATCTTATTCTCCTACTTAAGTGACACTTGGGACTGTTGCTGACTTTACGTCTTCCGGTCAGCGGGTGGCAGTGTCGCTTAGAGGTAGCAGCACAGGCTGTGTAGTCAGAGGCCTGGTGAGCAATTCCTCGCAGTGTGACTGCACCTTAATCCGCAGTCCCCAACTCTGGGTTATTAGATCATCTTCCCTTTTAAATATAGACTCCTATACCCTTCCCCGTGGAGATTCTAATTCAGTCAATCTGGTAGGGGACCCTGAAATAGGAGAACGTGTGTCCATTTTAACATTCTAGGTAATATCGATAGTTAGCTAAATTTGAGAGCTAATGACTTAATCTTTCTGAGTCTCAGCTTTCATAGGATTGCTATGAATGTTAAATGAGAAAGTACATCTGAGTTTTATAAACTTTACATCACAATAAAGTATAAATTATTAGATTACTTCTCTAAGTAACTTTTCTATTGCTTTTTAAAAAAGACTTCTTCAATTTCTCATTGATTCCACGCTTGACTACATAAAATCATATTTGTTTGGTTTTTATGTATTGTCATAGCAGAGAGAAAACTGACGAATTCTGTCCAATCTAATGCATAAAGAATAGTATTCATTTAATAGTAGTTTTAGAACTTGAAGAGGTAGTAGAAAGAAAGTCCTTGCTTGATTTTTTTAAATCTGAGGAATAAATGCCATTTTTTAAAAGTAGCAAGGAAATGTACACAGAAATTGCTTCTATACATCTTTAATACAAAACTCACATTTTTATTAGCCCAATAATTTAATTTACAAATACATTCTAACTTTATGGTTTTAAGAGCACTAAAAAGTTAAATGCACTGTTTTCTTCCAAGCAAAAAACAAACAAAACAACACCTAACATCTTCGTGTCAATAAATGGTGATTTCAAAATATATCTTTTCAACTAGTTATCTAAGTTAATGAGATTTCAGCAGCTCAATACAAACCATATATAATAATATGCAGCATAAATGTCAGTTGACCTTGAAGCTTATAGCTTGTTGAAATCAGTTTCATAACCTTTATTCACAGTTTCTGTGTGACTGGGGTTACCCGGCCTGCTTGGTGCTGAGGGATTTTCTGACACAGAGGCCCGCTGTGTCATGTGACAGTGCCATCGCCCCCCTCTGCAGTCTTCCACTTTGTCTTGCATGTGCTTCTGCGACTCAGTGCCGGGTACCTTCCATGTCAATCCATTCTGTCATTTCTTCTTCCCCTGGGCCCATCAAGTCACCCAGAGAGGCCACGTTTTCCACCCAGGGAGCCAAACTGGCACATTCCTTCTGTACTTGACATCACCTTTTAACTCCCTTCAGCGGGAACCAGTCACTTTAGGCTATTAGCCTGAAGGTCATTTAGAAGATTTAAGTAAATATCTGATTTGAGGAACCTGGGGTAAGAGTCCTTTTCCATAAGAGTATATATGACTTTTTGGGCTTCATCAAAACACGTAGGGGTTGCTGCTTTAATCTTCTTGGCTGTAGATTCTCGAGTATGGAAGTCAATATTGATCTAAAAAGAAATCCTCATTAGTTGATATGCATTTCTTATTTATTGCAAATTTTATGACATTGCTATGTTTTTTGAAGCACCTAAAAGTAGTTTTAAGCCCTCGTTTAAATTAGTTTCAATATCTTTTGAATGCTTTTTCTAAATCTGCCCGGTACAAGGAGTGGAAGATTTAGAAAGGACTGTCATAAAAAGATCTTCTCCAAGGCTCATAGTATAGTTGGGAGATGTGAAAGAGGCAAACATGAACAATGTAAATATCTAAACTAGGTGGTACATATATTGCAAAGAGTGATGTGGGCATTCAAGAGTTACAGGAGGAGCCTCTTTGTGTGGCTATTTTCTGCTTGGACCCAGACTATTTATCTAGAAGGTAGTACCACTGCTAACTGGAAATATTTTTTGCTACTGTAATTGTATATATTACACTGATCTGCATTTTATCCTTATCTAAGATGAGGTAGTTCAAGGAGGACTCCCTGACATGCAGTTCTGGCCGGTAACACCCATACTCCTTCCCCTACCCCTATCATATTAGCTACTTTTGCAAAATCCATCTTTTCATTGTACTGTGCTGTAATCTTCACAAATAGAGAAAAGTAGATTTTAGTTGCACTGAACTATATTTATATACTTAAATATATAAAAGTAAAATCATGATATCCAAAAAGGATTTCATCTGGTTATGTATGTTGCATGTTATTTCTGTGTCTAAGTTCTTTTATACAGAAATTGCTTAAATGAACTTAATACTCACTTGTTTAGCAGCATCTGAATGCACAAACGCTTTATATATCTTCTCTGCTTTGCAGTGCAAAAGATCAGACTCTGTTTTTTTATAGTCTTCACAAGCCAGCCAGAACTCAATATTCTCCTCACTGAACTCTGACTTTAGAAAATTTCCAAAGACATCTTGACCAGCTAAAAAGAAAGCATAGATTGAAATAATTAAAGTAATTGAGCCAATAAATGAACAAATTGAAGAAGAAATTTATAAGAAAATTACTGTTGCATTCTTTTTGTACAAAGGTAAGAGATGGTTAGTGTTGAAATAGCTTGGCTATAGTTTGTAGAGATGGGGAGGCCTTAGGTTTTCTTTTATTTATAGAAAAAGAATCTGGGGCCAGATGAACTTGTCCACTGTGACACAGCTGCTCAGTGGTGGCTATGGAACAATCTCTTTTCTTATAAGTAATAACTCTTAGCCAGAATGTAGAGTATTTTAGGGAATCAATAATTGGCAAAGAGTATTAGCGTCATGTTAATACCTAACAAATGTAATTTCCTCATCTTATTCATGTTGGCTGGAAAATATTAGGCCTGTACATCACTGATGTGCCTGGGGTATTGGCTATATTTGCTGGTGTTCGCTGAGACTTTTGCAGGAGCAATTTCTATGCCATTTATTTGACTGAATTATAAATTAAGTCAGATGATAAGATGGAAGAACTACATTGAACTACTTTATTCTCAAGCCAGGGTCTTTAAAGTGTTTGTAGGGAGAAGAGGTTCTCTATTCCAGAGAATCTCACCCTCTGGATAGAGCCAAGCTGCTTATCCACTCCTCTGGACAAGGTCCCACCCCAGTGGATTTGCAGTGCCCATGACAATGGGAAGGCAAGATGATTTCAGTCTTTACCTTCTCTCATCAGAAAATCCTCACAAGACTCTTTGTATTTAAAAATTCTTTTATATCTATGTTATAACATGTATCATGTTACATGTACTGCAATTATTTACTTAGTGTATCTCAATGACCTTTAATGCAGTAAGGGATCACATCTTTGATTTTGAATCCTTAGCTCCTCTAAAATGCCTGCCACATAAATACGGGATGAACGAGGGAGTTAATGAAGGTACGAATGACAAATAATTAAATGAATAAATCCTACTCTTACAATCCAGCTTTACAAAAGTGCATTCTTTCGGCACCTTTCAAAATGACATTTCAGATGTTAGTCAAGATATTGCTATTTGGCTTCCTTTTAAAACCTTTAAACTTCAAAACCCCAGCACAATCTTTTTATTTCTCTAGTGATCCATGGGAAAACATCTAGTTATCTTGGCAAATTTGTCTAAAAGATAGCAGCAGAGTTGAATGCTAAGTCAATGTTATATTACAAAGGGGCATACATGCTATGCTGAAGTTGTCAGTGACCATAGAAAAACTAGAATATAACTTTTGTACACTATCCTATCTAGAATATAATATTTTAATGAAGCCATTCAATCTATTAGGGTATTAATAGATTGAGAGAGCTGAACCCAGAAACATTCAATAGTTAATCTATACTTACTTTGGTTGGCAAGAAGTTTTTCCAGAGATTGAGACCACTGTATCACTTCATCAGCAGAAAGTCTGCAAGGAGAAAATTTATGTAAATTAGTAAGATATTTTTTGTGTAAGCACAAATGAAATAAGAATGGCTGCTACATTTTGATAACTTCACAAACTAAGACTATAATTACAACACATTTTTTAAAAATTTATCTATAAAAACAAATTTCCCTTAGAGTTATCACAGTTGTGAAAAAAATATGCCAATAAAGTTTGAAAAGAATCCAAATAGATAAAACCAGACAGTGTGAAAAAATAGCAAATATATGTGTATACACATTTGTATTTAGCTTACATTTGTATTAATGTAGCCTAATTGTATTTAGCATATTACTTAAAAGAAATGAAGTCTATTATATGCAGTATTAATCTCTTGCTAGGATATAGAGCTAAATGCACAGGCTACTCTTGTAAATGATGAGGCTAGTTCAAAGTATCATCGTACGTACATGTTCCTGGATTTGGATGATTTCATTCCAGATTCCAGATGTGGGATCATGGATCTCAGGTATGCTTTCATGTCCATTCCACTACAAAAGATACAAAAGTGAATATTCATTTTTCTTCGGTAGAATTCCTTTCACTTATAAGAAGAAAAGAGCATAGAATAGACTTTTCTGAGGAGTAAGGCAATAATAAAAAGTGTTGATGCAACATTTTTCTATATTAAAATACAGCCCATTTTTATAAGTGAATGTCTAGAAAATAATTCCACCTAATTTAATGCTGTATCATGATTTATATTTTAACACACTGAATATTACTTATAACTCACAACGGGTACTTGCTCTGATCTGGCTAAACTAAATGCTCATGTTCTCTTCCATTCTTCCTAAATCCTTTTGCATTAAAGATAACCTAAGTTAAAATTCACAAAGTGAGACACTGAATGAACTTACAAAGTCTTTGGCCTCCTTTTCTGCGTTCTGTCATCTAGAAGTGAATGTCCCGTTCCTTTCAATTCTTTAGCAGAGAAGACCATTCCTGGCATTTTGTCTAACTTTGGCATGGAGATGGCTGCTGCTCGCATGGTCTCCTCACTGCAAGTGCCAGCTGGCCGACGACTCTGCTGCTTTATATAGTGAGGCCAGACGGGCCTTGCTGTTCAAAGGAGTCTGTTTATCAAGTGATATTACCACAGACACTGGAAGTTCCCCTTTTCTTGGTGTGCTGTGACGTGTATCTTGAGAGAGAGAGAGAAAAAAAAACATACAGTGATGTCTTGTGGTTGAAACTTAATCAAACGAGAACAGGTCACTTGATTAGAAAGAAGGAGCATTAGACTGTCAGAGGCACACACAGAGCACATGTGCGAGCCTCGTCAGATCAGGCTTCGGTTCCAGAGTGGGTTTGTTTCTTCTTAAAAACTGCGCCTTCCAATAAAATGTTTCATTTAATGTGTTTATTGTGTCACATAGAAGCTCAACATTAGAGTTCAGTTCCCCTCAATGCTTGGATAGTCCTCGACTGTAAAATTCATCGGTGACAGTATCTTGAGAGAAGCCGTGCAAAGTAAACAAATACTTTTTGTTTGATTATTTTCCACCTATCTGGTAGGAAGGAGAGTTAGGAGAGGTTACCTGCATGTTTTCCCGCTCTGACTTGCATCCTCTATTTCCATGGCAGGAAATTTTCTTGTTAGTATTTTCTAATTCCAAGGTATGCGCAAAACATCCTACTGGTGACACACATGATCATTTTAAGGGGTACGTAGCTTTAATATTATTTTAATATTTATTAGAAACATAATTAATATATCAAAATAATTTCTACATATTACTGCTTAAGAAAAGAATAAAATTAAATCAAAATAAATCTATACATAAAAAAGCATAATTGACACACAAATATGACATAATATATGTGTATTGATACTAAAATCACACAGTATCAAAGGAAAAATTTCTCAAGGTAAAATAAAAGTACATTTAGATAGACCAATAATGTATACTCCTTAGGTGATGATCTTCCAGATTTTGTCAGTATCTCTGGAGAGATGTAGTCGAGTTTAACTAAGATTAAAGTTTTTTAAAAACGCAAGGAACTAAAGAACTAATCGCTTATTAGGGTAGAGGTCTTTAGTGTGATATAAGCTCTTATAGAGCTTATGCAGTGTGGCTTATCTACGGAATGCCCAGTGTAACTTAAGCATCCTTTGGATTTTGTCCCCAAAGGGACCACAGCCTTTACTTAGAGAGGCTTCTGATGGTGTTGGATAAAGCTGACAAAAGAGAAGAGAGTATGAACTTTTCTGCCCTGATTCTACCATCAAGATGAAGAATATTTGAAGGAAACATATTTACAATATTACAAAATTCACTTGCACGCAGTCATAAATCTCAAGATAATGAACTTATCATATTGTATGTAATAAGAATAATTTTTATGTTAGTTAGAAAGATAACATGGTGCATTAAAAAAAAGAACTAGTGATATGAGCTCACAACTTTGGAAGTGACCCAAACAAAACTGATGGGACACAGGGACTGATGACATAAAGATATTTGTGTGTACACTTCCTGTGGTTCAGTCCCTACTCACTTTCCTGATAACATCTTCAGCATTGCTCACGTTTGTTTATTTAGTAACTTCTCACTCCCTTAGGTACTTCTGAGTAAGTTATGTCAGAGAAAAATGATTTAAAGGTTATTTTTAGTGGCCTACTATTATTATCATCCAAATATATTGTCAATTTTCAAAGTATATTTCTACAACAATAGTTCCTTTGGATGTTAATAAGCATAAGAACAGCAGCAGCAGCAGCAGGTTATGTACCAAGTAAGTCTGCGAATGTTGGGTTCCTAACTTGTTAAAGAACCAAAACTTTAGATAGGAAAACAACGTTCTCTTGACACCACATTAGGAAACTCTAATCTGAGATGAACATAAATATTACCTCTTTTGTATTAACAAATTGCTTTAAACCTCCCAACATTTTGCTATTCTAATACGGATTTTCAAGCTCAAGCATTTACAATTGTATGCTCTCAAGCTCGACAGAGAAGTAAGTTCCCCAAAGAGCGTCCTTCCGGAATCCCTATGTCTGGCCGCATGCTGAGGCACCCGGAGCATAGTGACGCAGCTGTTCTGGAGGCTCTTGCCAGCCGCAGGGCCCGCGCAGCAAGGCAGGGACTGCGGAGTCCATGGCAAGGCACTGGAAGTTCCCTGTCAACCTCACACAGCGCCATTGTCTGGCCTGTCTTTGTAAAATTCACTAAGTGAAGACAGACGGTAACATAGCAGCCTTATTCAATCAATGACTTTGCTGAACTTGAGAGGTCTTCAAAAAAGCCAATAGAAGATACAGTGGCTTTCCCAACAATGTGGGTTATTTTTTTTTTCCGGTGTGAAATTGTGCTTAAGTATCTAGGTTGGAGTCCTAAGAAAAGGAATATTTCATGTAGTCTTAGTGTTATATTTTTTTAAAAACAAAAACAAAATAGACTTTGGTTTTTGTTTTAGGGGTATAGCAAAATGGAGTGGAAAGTACAGAGAGTTCTCACCTACTTTCCACCTCTCACCGTGCCCCAACCTCCACCGCCCTCACTACCCCTCAACAGTGTGATACATTTGTTACAATGCATGGCCTCACGGTGACACGTCTATCTTCTAAAGTCCATAGTTTACATTAGAGTTCACTCTTTGTGCTGTACATTCTATGGGTTTGACAAATGAATAATGACAAGTATCCACTATTACAGTATCAACAGAATAGTTTCCTTGCCCTAAAAATCCCAGTGTTATATTTTAAGATACCACTCAGATTGGTTCAGTAAAATATTTCAGGTTGTGGCTATCAATTTTTGTGGGAAAAATGAGAGAATTTTTCATTTTTGCAGAGCTGATTTTATTTTGGTTCTAGTTACTCCAACTACCTGAATACTGGTGGGGAGTGCTTTGCTGAATGACATTTTGAATCTTAATATTGATTAAACCTGATGTCGATTGAGCCTTTAGTATATTGTCACAATTTTGTTGTGGATATTAAGAATTGTAGGAAAAGAGACAATAATAAGATTGTGTCTTAAAAATAAAAATATATCTATACTGCAAGAATCCTTGATGCGAACGCATATTTTGACTCAATGAAACAAAATATCTTGATTCAACAAACTTTAATTGCGTTCCTACAATGTTATCAGACATAAGGTACTACAGCTGCAAGGATGAAGGGATCTCTGTCCTGAAGGGTTCTCAGTGTGGTAGGGCAGGCAGATGTGTGTGCGAAGTGCCATGAGAAAGGAATGTGCTGAGGGAGGAGCACAGAAGGAGTGAATAACTGCAAGTATAGGAAGGGACCAAAGTGCTGCTGCATTGGCTACAAAATCAACACGCATCTATTCTTTGCCTTCCTGCATTTGCACTCAGCACCCCTTGGAAAGTTCAAAAGGCTGCAATGGAGAAACTGGTGTTCAACAAGTAGACACCTCAAACATAATCAAAGATCATGGAAGAATGGATCCTATCTGTAAACACAAAGCTTTGCAAATTTTAAAAGGGGCTCTGGATGACTTTGTTGAATTAGCATAACCGCTCCATGGTTAGGGAATTAAGAGTACCCGGGTCTCTTTTGGCTCCTGCAGACTCCAGGGTCTTCAAGGATCATAGGTAGGACTACTGACAGTGTTTCAGCTAAATTGCAGAGAGTTTACTTGAAAAAACTTCAACAAAGGTAGTTTGGAAAGATTTTTCTCTGTGTATGCAGAGTGGGTTAGTGTGAACTTTGTATCATTTATAAATGAAAAGATTAAACATTTTAGAGTTGCTTACGATTTTATTTTCTATTGTATAATGAAGAAGTATGAGGGATTTTAATAAGATCAAATACCTGCAATTCAGTGAAATCAGTAAATGATCTTAGTAAATGCAACTGAGCAAGATAAGAATCTAGTTTCTTTTTCTCACGCTGCTCTAGTTTTATAATTAATACTGAGCACCCCTTTCTATAAATTGAGAGTTTATAAGAAAGCAGTGCTAATGATAAGATGTAGATCATGAACAAGCAATGTGTCATGACCAGGGGTTGGATGACAACCCTTTGACTCTGAGACTCCAAAAAAGAAAACAATGTGGTATTAATGGAGACCTTGTGACTGGAGTATATATCCATTTCTTATTTAATCCTTGTAACAACCTTGCCATTTGTGGAGTGGATACCCCTCTAATATGTGATGTGAATAATGTTCAGAAAGGTTTTTTAATATAAAATTTTTTATACTAGACAAAAAAATAGAAAATTGAATGTGAGATCATCAGTGAACTGGGCTCAGGTCATTCTATGAGCCTCATTCACTCTAAATTTCATCTTATCAATTAAATTCTCATTAATAGGCTCATTCTCTAAGTCATTCTTGAAAATACTGAAGAAATATTTGATTAATATGGTCTTTGATATATTTATTCCACATTTGACTTATTTTCATTTATTATCACCTGTCATTTATAATTTTTCAACAAGGGAGAGTAATCACAACTGACTCTGTTGACTGTACTTTCAAGATAAAATTTGGCAAGTACTGAAGCATGGGCCTTCCTCACAAATCCAAATGAATGGACAAGTATGCTAAATTGTTGCGGCAATGTGTACAGCTAGTGTTACAGCTCTTGACCAGGGAAAGAACCCAACCAAGCTGCACTCAGAGTCAGAGAACAGTCTTTATTCTTCCACAGCAGGCTCAGCACACCTAGTCTTACAGCTCTCTTCCTGTTTTCCAATCCTCTGCCCCTTCTGCCCCCCTTCCTCGGTCTCCTCCTGCTTTTATACCCTTTGTGGGGCTCAAAAAGCATCCAATCAACTACAAGCTTTAACATCCAATCAACAACAAGCTTTAACATCCAATCAAAAACAGTGGGATTAAAAAATTACCCAATCAGGATCACGCAAGTAGCGTGGCAGGAAACAGGCAGCGGCAGGTGGGCCTGGGGGCCCGGGTGGCTCTCTGCCACGGGCCCAGCCCCAGCAACTGCCCTCCAACTGGCCACGTGCAGCGCTGGTCAGCGGAGATGCGGAGCGATGGGGAGGTGGCAAGTGGCTGCCGCCCGGCGCCCAACATTTTCCTCATCAAAATGAACATCGGCACATTATTTGCAGT